GTATTGGTCCTCCATAATGCTGGTCCTGAAACTCTGATGGTCCAGACTTGGACCAGTGGAGAGACCCTTCCTGTTCCCAAACCTCACTTTCAGCTGAAGTAGTTAAACCCCGCCCCCTTTCTGCTGGTCTGCAGAGGCACAAAGAGAGAGAATTACAGGAAGTGATCGAAGCGTCTTCTTTTTATGATGGTGCAGAGCCTAATAAAGCAAGTTAATGTGGATCTTTAATGGAGCTCTGTGCTAATGGAACAGCCTGATCTGTGTCCCAGTTCCAGCTCATGAGTCTGAGGGAATGCTGATTATTTGGTAATTAAATAGGACTAAAAAATGAATAGAGAAAACATTAATGTGAGCAGAAATATAACCTCTGCTGATTAGTCTGCTTCGTTCCCACCGGCTATTGTCAAACCACAATATTAATGCAATAAAAGAATAAAAAACAAGGTTTAATTAGGACTTTACTGCCTCACTGCTGTGTTTACTGAAACAGCACAATACCAGCGAGGATATAAAACCAACCTGCACAAAGTGTAAAAGCAATAATCAGTCAGACAGAGAAGAAATGTGAGGAAGCAGYAGTTCCTCCTGCGCTGCCAGGGGACACATGATGATGGGATTAATGTTTGTGTTTTTGCACCATCAGACGGTTAAAGTGATACAAAACGTGCAACACGAAGTGACAAGAGGAGGAAATTAGAAAGCTTCAGGCAGCAGACTTATTTAGGAAAGAAGATGGCGGCAGRGATGAGCTGCAGCCTGGACCACCTGCTGCTGCAGTCACTGATGGGACCGACAGAACAACAATCTGCTCCCATAATAAAGACGTTTCATCTTATGTGAAGACTTTAAAAGAGTTTATAAACCTGCTGCTGTGGCAGCTTTACTTTKTGTCGCAAAACAAGAACAGAAATGGAACTTTTGTTGAGAATCTCCTGCTTCCTATGGAGGGACGAACGTGACATAATTACAAAWAAAAGCAGAGATATATGGAGCAATAAATAAAAAACACTACAAATGGACCAATTAAATTACCTCACGTTTTAACATTTAATTGACCTTCATATTTATTTTTCCAGCTTAGTTCCAATAAATGATATATTTTAGCTCATCGTTTTACATAWTTTAAAAATAAAGACAAAGGTAAATGTTTCCCTCCCTGTTTTTGTTTTTAACTAAACTTTAAACGTACACTAGCTGACCCAAGAAGCTCCACCCACCTTATTTACATAATAAGGCAGAAATGCTTATCGTAAAGTAAAACTAGGACAGAGAAATGTAAAAAAAATGGAAATAAAGGTATGTGGGAAAATCTATAGAATGATTAAATATAATTATTTTTGCAGACTAAAATACATGTACAAGTAA